TTTGAAACGTGGCATTAGCCTGAACATATTAAGATATCTTAATCTTCGTGTTTGGATAATGTACAATGAAATTTGACAACTGTTAAGTGTGTTGACCCAGATTATTGAGTTCCTCCAGCAGTAAGATAAATATTACTAAGGCCAAATAAAAAAAATTACTTGGTTAGCGTCACCGCCCGCCTCTCGATTTTCTGCCGCTTCTGAATTTTTTTAATTTTTTTATGTAAATCTCTTCGTTTTACAGCTTAAAACAGTTTAATATTTGAAATTTTTCTCATGCTCAGACCTTCGCGCTATATACTGATCGATAGGAGCGCGTAGGCTTGGGTATACAAGGTTCTTAAAGCAAAATGGCGGCCTTCGCAACATCAGTACAAAAAATATCACCGATATGGTGGAAAAACCGCCCCCCCATCCCCTCCAAAAATACTATTAAAAAATTAAAAAACGAGTAAAAATTAAAAAAATATCCGCCCGCCCGCCTCTGAAAATTTTTTATTTGGCCTAATAATTAATTCAACATTCTGACCGTAATAGGAAATTAAATATGCAGCTGACTCAGGGACGCCAGAACGACGAGAGGGCAAAGGAGGCAGACTTTCGTCGAAGGGCACTTTTGAATTGATATCTATTAAAGGACGTTTACGAAACATCTGGAGTTTAACGCTGCCATAATCACCTTTCTGATTTGTAAAGAAATAGAGAGGTCTGCGGTTCTCCCCCGGAGGATTTTGATATTTTTGAAGCTCAATGACTGCATTTCTGGCACAATAGAATTCAGCCAAAAATGCCCAAAATGACTGTTGTCGTACGCGAAATTTGAGCTATATATTGAGGCTTGTTTAAATCAAGTTCTTTCAAGTAATTCTACTTTTTATATATTATCGCTTTACAGTTCGCCTTTTTTCAGAGATCTCTGCGAAAAATACAAGCTGACACGCACGTTAACAGCAAATTGGAACAACACTGGAATTAATCATATAAACTTAATTTCCATACATATCTTACAGTTTTCCAGCAAAAGTTTGTTATATCATATAGTTTATATAGTTCTATAATAACAAAAACGAATTCTTTGTATTAATACAAATATTTTCCTTTAATCAAAAGGCCACCTTCGCCCCCCCCCCCAGTTCCGGCGTCCCTGTATGCAGTATATATTATAGTTTGTTATAATCCCAAATCTTTCTTGATCAATATAACTTACACTGGAAAAAAACTGAGAGTGAAATTCATACTATGGAATTTGTAATTGCATCACTAGGTCCATATAGGCATAGTTTATATCCACACTATTTCATAGTATATCCATAGTATATGAAAATTGCAATTAGTATATGAAAATTGGATTTCCATACTATTTTCAACTAAGTTCCCTACTATTTCCACAGTTAGGATTTGGAAAAAAATTTCCAGTGTTATTCCTAAAAAGTTCACTTTCTTGGAAGGGTTATACAGTGTAGAGACACGTTTTACTGGGCTCAAATGTAACTGCATGAGGAAACAGGAATATGTGCTCCTGGAGAAAACCCGTATAGTGTTTTGTGGAATCAAATTACAAGTACTTTTCTAACATGTCAATGAGGTGAAATTATATTGAGCATGGCCTCTTGAAGGGGCAGAAAAAGGGTCCTAACTAGGAGTTATAATGAACGGGAAAAGTATAAGATCGTGTAAAGGGCTCTGAGGTCTCGTATATTTGAGCCTCCGGGCCGGGCGTGATTTTCTGCATTCTTATTAACAATCTTTGGCATATTTCTTTCGCTAGACAGAGGTTTGAATACTAAAGCACTGTTAACTAAGATATTCTTCCCTTTTATACTTATATTTTACACAGAAAAGACCTTCACTGGGGGGGGGGAGTTCTCTAGAAGGGGGGAAATTGGGGCTTGGGGGACTTGCCCCCAACCTATGTGCTAAAAGAGATATTGCAATGCCTGATAAATCTGGAATAATTTTTTCTGTGTTGGTGTTATGTACTCAGGTGAATATGATGCTTGTGATGTTACTCTGAGTATATATCCACACCGGACAAGCTTGAAAAATATGCCACGGTGGGAATCGAACCTACGACCTTTGGAATAACCCATCATGTTACGTTATCTTGCATGATCTTATTATATTTAGGATTGTATGTTGTGTGGATAATGTCGCATTATAAACTAGAGGGCACTCAGAGACTGCATACCTCCGCCCGTTACTCGGAAGTGAAACGCAACCTTGGAATTTCCTAAGAAATCCACTTTATAATTCTTAAGCATAAAAGATTTCAGGCCCCCGCGAATTGAAATCGAATTGCTAATAGAACATATTACTGTTGTTGTACTGTACAGTACTTGTAAAATAAAAACTTTTTAAGTGTCATTAAATAAATGCACAAATTTTGCTTTATGCACTCGCGCGTGCAGTAATTTTCACAGTTGTGCTATTTTAAATTCCCAGGCAGCTAAAATCTTTTGTCTTTAAAACAATGTCGATTTCTTGGAAATTCCGAGGTTGCGTTCTTTTTATACACCCTGTATTGAAGTAATCTAATGTTGTTAGAATTTGAATGGACTGGCACTTTGCTGAACGTAATAATGCGTAACTCCGTAAGCCTTGTTTTAGACATTGAATTTCGGTCGCGTGAAATGCAACTAAGACAATAGATAATGAAGGCCGAAGCTTAATGAGGTTTATCATCTCATTATTGTCTTAGCACTGAGTGCATAAATTATACACGTCCTAATTACGCATTCAGTAATATTTTTGTTAATTGACCGGGAAAAGCAAGACAAAATTTTGTTCATTTCTCGTTCAATTTTTAACCAAATTCAACCAAATTTTAATCAGTTCTTCCTTAGCCGATGGGAAATGCATTCAAAAAATTTCGTACGGATATGTTTGGTATTTCTTGAGTTATCGTGCTCACAGACAAACACACACACATACATACACACACACATACACACACACATACACACACACATACACACACACATACACACACACATACACACACACACATACACACACACACATACACACACACATACAAACCCAGATGATTACATAACCTCCTGGCGGAGGTAATGAAATTTGACATCTGAAGTGTATTTACCTGTAGTACTGTATGAATAATTTTCTTCTTTAAGAAGCTGAGGATTGATTAATTTGAAATTCATCAAACATCACTACTACACAAAAGGAGTGATTTCGAAATTAAAACTCGGACAAAGGAGGATAAGAGATGATGACTGGGGTTGACAAGTGAGAGTTTGCATGAGAGTTTCCTCAACTTTCATGCCCCCATCAAGAGAACAAGAGTCACAGGAGAGTTGATCAGAAATTACAAGTCAAACGAACCAAAGCTTACATTAACTCTCATCCTCGTTTAACCGGTGTTTGATAAACGTATACGTAAAAATTGATTTTTCGTACTTGGCTTTGAAATACCGTAGATCGAAAACAATGTCAGTAAATCAAAAATGACGGTAGCGATTCATGAAGTAATAATAAGAAAATCACATATAACTCGTATTGATCCATGCAAGGAAACCAATAATAAACATGACCCATGCAAATGAGATAACATACTGTAGTCTGAAGTAAAAGATGCTTGGTCAGGACCGGCTGTGGAACAACTCCCCCCCTCCAGTGAATTTAATTCCGGAAAAAGTTCCAGTGTTATTCCTAAAAAGTTCTCTTTCTTGGGAGGGTTATACAGTATAGAAACACGCGTTTTACTGGCCTCGAATGTAACTGTATGAGAAAACAGGAATATGTGCTCCTGGAGAAAATCCGTATAGTGTTTTGTGGAATCAAATTACAAATACTTTTCTAACATGTCAATGAGGTGAAGATACAGCAGAATTTGAATTAAGAATTTGTCAATGAAAGGGGTGAAAAAGGTCGATCGTAACTTGGAGTTGCTGAACAGAAAAAGTAGAACGTGTAAATGGGGGTGTGGGGTCTTGTATTTTTGAGCCTCTGGCCCTTGATTTTCAGCATTTTTATACAAACAATTTTTGATATATTTCTTCCGCTAGACAAAGGTTTGCTCATGGGAATACTTAAACACTCTTAACTTAACTTAACTTAACTAAGACATTCTTTCCTTTTGTACTTATATTTTACACAGAACGGACCTTCACCGGCGGGAGTGTGTGTGTGTGTGTGTGTGTGTGTGTGTGTGGGGGGGGGTTCACTGGACGGGGCCAACATTTGGACTGCTAGACATACCTTCCACCCCCCACCCGCCCCTGTGTGTTAGAGGTCCCGATATTAAACCATACAAATGCAACTCAAGGAAACACAGTAACTAACCACTGCTATTGCAACCGAGCCATAAGCGTGTCCAGCAATATCAGCGTGGTTACCCAAAACTCTATTGAAAAGGAAAAGTTCTCTATAAGCTTCATAGTTCATAACGTTCATAATTCATAATGACTTTGCCACGCAAAATATTACACTGCAGTATGGGAGGGAATTAATGACATAAGCATTTTGTTTTGCATGGTTATATTTCAGAAATTTTCCAAGTGCAACATTGGGCAACACCTCAACCACAAAGACAGAACTGGACGTTTGAAATTGCTGATTTGTAAAGACAAAATTAAAAGCGTTCCTCAATGGAGATTTGTTGACGGTAAAGCTACATACGTTTAACATGACTTAAACTGTTCTATGCGAATTTACGAATTTACATCAGTTTATAATAACCTTTTTTATTTCCTGTAAAGAACTATACATGCACTTAAAATCTATGCCCTTCCAGAAGCAATGCTCGAGGCCTTTTTATGTGTACGTTGTAACGTAGACCTTTGCGAGTTTTAATGAAAGCAAGTATTTCTTTGGAATATAAGTAAGTACACTGTAAATTTTAAGGAGTTGGATCAACTCCAAAAGTGTTATTCTGTCACCAAAAACAGTGACAGAATTACTCTTCTGGAGTTGATTCAACTCTTTGAAATTTACAGTGTAGATTCAGAAGAGTGTGTAACCTTAGCATCTTATCGCAGGTTCTCCGACATTGGGTGAGATATTCAACCCAGCTCGAGATTGTACTGATGTTGTTGATCAATTACCCGAAGCTGAGGATGGGTTTTACTGGATTGTTCTGCCCAAAGGAACGAAGCGCCAGGTTTGTGTTTGGATTATGACATGTCCAGGGACACCGGAATGATGTGAAGGCAAGCCTTTAAGAAGTAATTCACACATATGCAACACAATAAGATCACATATGCAGCACAATAATTATTTGAGAGTGAAAAGTTGTTATTTAAGTTGCCATTTCCTTGGGCAAAATAGATTTGGTGTGACGTACATACAGACGGTGGTGGATTTGCGTTGGTTGGAATGATGGATAGTCCTGTATCGTGGACAGTACCATCTAATTCTACCCCTGTTGATCCTCAAGGACCCCCACATTGGTTAAGTGATCTTGGTGATGTCAAAGTTCTGGACTTTAGAGTTCAATTTTCGACTGATAAAAGTTTTGAGGGAACAAAGGCAGACTGGTAAGAAAGCTTTGATGCGGACCGCTAAAAATTTTCCATAAGACTTTCTGAACTAAAATAATCACAAGAGTAGTAACGGCAATAAAACGACAAAAGAGAAACAATATCAAACAATACAGGAAACGTAACTAAGAAAACGAACTATCAACACTTGGCATAAAAACTGCATAGGATACTGCATGAGAACACCCGCTCTTTGTATTCTGCAATAAGCAATTTTGTGATCACATCACTCCCTTTTCAACACAAAAAAGAAGAAAAATATACGCATTCTTTTAAAGGTTATGATGTATGCCCTTTCAACTTGATTTGCTTTCCACCCCTCGTATATGGAAAGTACAAGTAGTTCCTCTTTTTATTGTAGGTTTTACCGATTAAATCCGCAACGGAAGTTTGGAAATCTATTGTCTGTGAACAACGGATGTCCGCACTTGCAAGCTGGAATTGGAAATATTTCGTTTGTCAAGGATATCTCGACTCACTCTGTCCTTACTAATAACTTCAAGTGCTCAAAGTTTGGACCACATATACATCATATGTTGGGATGGGTATACAGCTGATTTTAAAATAATTTTATACATGGTGTCCCAAAAGAATGACTGAGTGAAATTTTTATTAATTAGACCTAACCATGAAGCAGTTGTAAAAAATGCAACTATCCTCCCTCTGGCAGGAATCAAACGTGCCAGTCCAGTACAGCGCTTTGCGACTCTCTGAGCTACAAAGAGTCGCAGTGCCGCAGGTTCAGTAGACCTTTCCCCTTATAACCAAAATTTTGATCTAGGCAAGTCTAGACAAATATTTCATCACAGCTTGAAAGAGCATCACAAAATTAGTAATATTCCAAAGTTTCGTTGCGAAATGTTGTAAAATGAGGAAAATAGAGCCTTGCGAATTTTGCAATTTTCAGTCATTTTGCATTACAAACGGGAAATTGCAGCCCCAACACCCGAATCGGATGTCAATTTCCCGTTTGTACTACAAAACGACTGAAAAACGGCAAACTTCGCAAGGCTATATTATCCGCATTTTACAAGATTTTGCAGCAAAACTTTGGAATATTAGTAATTTTGTGATGCTCTTTCAAGCTGTGATAAAATTTTTGTCTAGATCGAAATTTTAGTTATGAGGGGAAAGGTCCATTCCTGCCAGAGGGCGGATTGTTGTATTTTTCACAACTGTTCCTGGTTAGGTCTAATACATGTATAAAAATTCCACTTTAAATATCCATCTGCAAATCCCATCAACATTAGTTATATCGAGTGAGACGCCCAAAATCTCCAACCGTTTGCCTTCAATACTCTAACTTCCCTAAATTAGGTAAAATAATCGGGAATGTTTTAGGCAATTAAAGAATTCAAATAAATAACTTTCGACCAGCTTCATTTTAAGGTTGAATCTTTAAAAATCAATTCTAGCCTTACATTATGGAACTTTTCTTCCACGAGCCAGCAATTTAAGGACACTTATATTTTCCTGCCTAACCATCAGACTCATTTTACTAATTTTTATATCAAAGAAAATCTTTAATGTTAGAGAACAACAAACAATCAGTTGAAGAGTTATGTTTAAACATCTCATTTTAACACAAATAAATACTTCTGGCCTAATTTCTATAAAATGGATAAGTTGAAATATAAAAGAAGGTTGATTATTTTGATCAGTCAAATATCAATGACAAGGTATTAAAACGATAGAATAATTCTTTTATCCAGTACTAAAACTCGGAAATTTCTATGAAATTCAAAACTAATGTTGCAATACCACAATATATAGTGTGTGTGTGTGGGGGTGGGGTGGGGAGGAGGCAATTTTTGGTATGTTTCTCACAAAAATCTTATTTTGTGGATATTCAACCTTTAGACCTTCGTGAAAAATAATTATTTCATTCTGATTTTAGGGGAAAATGAATTACTGTCTTCGACATCAGTGCAATAACGGTTACGCAATATTAGTAGACGAAGTTAGATTTCGATACGATAATTTTGGATCATACAGGTATTGGATCATGGAGTTTTAATTATCGTCAATACGTGTGAAATGATGATTCAATTTAATATTACCCATACACAATCAGAATAACATTATAACTGTTTGATTTTGCATAAGACGTTAGTTAATTGTTATTGGCTGAATTAAGTTGTAATTCCTTCAGCTATAGCGCTGCTTCTTCATTCTCTGGAATGAAACATAATTCCACAGCTTTTGTTGGATGTGATCATGGCAAGGTATAGTAATTTGTTATACGACATACTAAAGATACTTAGTATATCAATGTCCTATATCAATGTTCAAAGAACGTTCACAATCCCTGGAAACGATAGTGAAATTCATACTGGAACTTGCGATTGCATCACTATAAATCCATAGTATATCCGTACTATTTCCATAGTATATCCATACTATTTCTATACCATATCAATAGTATATCCATACAATTTCCATACTATATCCATACTATTACCATACTACATCCATAGTAAATCCATACTATTTCCATACTATATCCATAGTATCTGGAAATTGCGATTTGTATGAAAATTGGATTTCCATACTATTTTCGACTAAGATTCATGCTATTTCCATAGTAAGGATTGGGAAAAAAATTTCCAGTGAATAATTTGGTCATTATCCATGTATAGTCTTAAATTTTCAATCCATGCGCATTATATTTGTATTCCTCCATATTTTGTAGTGTTGCGCATGTTTTGGTCCCAAAGGTGGAAGACAAAACTACTGTGGTCCTAAATGTACAGCAATTAACGGTGGAACTGTAATCAAGAGCGCTTTCGTTTGGTTTTGGGTGCGAACCAGAATGCCTGAAAGTCTGTGGAAAAGATGTATGGAGTTTGTGATGAAAAACTCGGCGGGAAAACTTGAAACACATTTCATTGATCCACAAACAGGCACCGCACATAAGGTGGGATATTATTGAAAGTAAAGATGACCTATTGTGATTGATGGCATCAGACACGGTACCACCAGCAACAACACTGAAGAACGACAACAAAAACGACAACTACAATGACGGCAACAATAGGACGGACAACGACGACGATTGCAACGATGACAACAAGAACAACAGCAACAACAGAAAAGATACAAATAACGACGATAATGGCAACAACAGCTGTATCCGAGGCTGTATCAGCAACAGCAATGTCCACAGCAATAGCAAAATCAGCAACAATTACAAATTAATTTTAACCAGCAGTTTGGTTTGTTTTTAGGGTTCCTGCTCAGGAAAACATAAATCAGTTTTAAACGAAGGTGTAAGTAGAATGTTTCAGGCATGGGTTTTTATTACCACAGTGAAGCATCGGATGTTTCGTAATTGGAGAATTTCTTTATTCTAGACATTGACAGTATCTGACAAGGAAAGTTTTGACAAGATTCCAGATGTTCCAGGTCTTCTCTCATATCGTAAAGATGATAAGCAACTTTATGTCAATCAAGGATCAGAGTGGCAAGCATTAAGTACTGAACAAGAGGTTAGTTTAAGGTGGCTTGATACAGTTTTTAAAAATGGAAAATTCACGATTTAGATCCGTATTTTTGGACAATTATTACTTGTTGGGAAACAAAAAGTATGTTACCCAAGTAAAACAACCAACTAAAGGGTTTGAATTTTTCCACAAATGTTACGTAACTGCTGTTTGCTATGGCAACAATGACGTTTCCATACGGCGGGTATTTTTGCTTTAAAGTAATTTTATTTCATAAAATGATTTATTTTAGTATACTCAATTATTATGAAAATTTTCGAAATTAAATAAATGTGACTATTTATAATAATTTTTTTGGCTCAACATAATTTTTTTAAAATGTAAAAATAATTGAGTATAAGAGATGTAAAAATAATTGAGTATAATGAGAAATCATTTTGTAAATAAAATTTGGGTGTCACCGATATCATTTTCGAGTTAAACTACTTTAAAGCCAAAATATCCGCCATGTTGAAACGTCTTGTTGCCATAGCAAAAGCAGTTGCGTAACTTTTGTAAAACAATTCGAACCTATTAGCACGTCGCATTGTTGAACTGTTAACGAGTAACTTAGGATATACCACAAGACATCAACAGTGTAACACAATTACTCTTATAGTCTAATGGACCTATTCCCTAATGAACGAAATTTTGATCTAGTCATGTCTAGACAAAAATTTCATCACAGCTTGAAAGAGCATCACAAAATTAGTTATGTTCCGAAGTTTCGTTGCGAAATGTTGTAAAATGCGGATAATATAGCCCTGCGAAGTTTGCCGTTTTTCAATCATTTTGTATTACGGACGGGAAATTGACACCGCTTTCTGAAAAATTAGAAGGTATCAATTTCCCGTCCGTAATACAAAATGACTGAAAAACGACAAACTTCGCAGAGTTATATTATCCGCATTTCACAACATTTCGCAACGAAACTTTGGAACTAATTTTGTGATGCTCTTTCAAGCTGTGATGCAATTTTTGTCTAGACTTGTCTCGATCAAAACTATTTTCATTGGGGAATAGGTCCATTCAATATGGAGAATTTACTGGGGAATGAAAGTAAAAATGGAAACATGATTCGTAATCAAGTAGGCATTAGATATTTAGGATAGGGAACATAAGCACGTTATAAATGATTACATCTCATAATCTCTCGATTACAGTACATCATCATCATCATCATCATCATCATCTCATCTCTCGATTACATTACATCACTACATCTTTGCAGTCAAATTACTTCCATTGCTACTACGAATTTGGAGGCAGTTGCTATTTAATGTACCCTACCCAACCACGCAAAATTGCTTCTTGTGTGCTGTTATAGACCACCTGATAGTAACGATATGTCTGATCTTAGATCCTTTGCTGATAACCTATTTCCTAGTTACGACAAGATTATTATTGCCGGGGATTTTAACCTCCCAAATATCTCTTGGACAGATGGTAACTATACATCGTTTGGTTCATTGAGTCAGAATTTCTGCAATATTTTGGACGATTACTTCATGTCCCAACTTTGCCTTACGCCTACGAGAAAATCAAATATTCTGGATCTACTGATTACAAACCAACCTGAACAAGTATCATTTATAGACATCTGCTCCCCAACGGATTTAGGAATGTCTTCTGATCATAAAATTATACAGTTTAAATTTACCTCCGCAACTAAAACCATTCAATCTAATAAACGTTTGGTCTACGAGTACAGACGAGCCAACTTTTGACGGCCTACGAAAACGTTTAATAGACATAAACATTTGTTCTCTTGTAACAAATAATGGAACGGAATCTAGTGTTGATGATGACTGGTCAACTTGGAAGGACGCAGTGATGTCTGCTGTGCATGAATTTATCCCTTCCAAATATGTGGACCCTCGTCGCTCACTACCTTGGATAACACCTACCATCTTACATCAGATTCGTAAAAAGGTTACTGCCCGTAAGAGATTCCTTAGCCGTGGAACTGATTATCTTAAGGCGAAGTTTAACAAACTGAGAGCTGAAGTAAAAAAATGATTCAAATTAGCAGAGAGTCATTTTTCTTGTCATTAGGAAACACTATACAAATCAACCCAAACCTTTTTGGTCGGTTTTCAAAATCAAGTCAAGTTCTGGAAATATACCCAACTCCGTCACAGGGTTGGATACCAACAATCCTGGGACTAGATTACATGCTAACACACCATATGACATTGCAACAATGTTTAATGAGTACTTTCATTCTGTCTACACATGTTTCTATGACCAACCCTCGCCATCTCAATCTGGTTCATCATCTCCTTTATCCAGCATCTCATCCATTGACTTGTCTCTAGAAGAAGTATATCAAACCTTACTGAACTTAGATTATCTAAGGCTCATGGTCCTGACGGGTTTCCTTCCCGAATTTTAAAGGAATGTGCCCTCCAATTGGCACCTTCACTTCATTACTTGTTTTCAAAGTCACTCCGCTTATCGCAGGTTCCAAACGAATGGAAATTAGCTAACATAATTCCTCTACTCAAGAAAGGAAGCAAAGATCATGTTGAAAACTACCGTCCCATTTCTCTGTTGTGTATCGTAAGCAAGACTCTTGAACGTTGTGTCCTCGACCATTTATCGCACCGTATACAGTCCAACATTCATTCGGCGCAGTATGGTTTCGTCAACGGAAGATCACGCACAGCTCAGTTATTGTCAATTTTAAACACTATTGGGAAAAACTTGGATCAGGGTTTACAAACTGATGTTGTTTTCATGGATATTTGCAAGGTCTTCGATAGTGTTGACCATTCCATACTTTTACAAGAACTTCACGATTTCGGCTTCTCTGGTTCTCTCTAGCTATGGTTTCAAAACTATTTATCAGGTCGCTTCCAACCGGTAACTGTACACGGCGCTACGTCTACGTCTCTGCCAATCACATCTGGAGTCCCACAAGGATCGTTGCTGGGTCCCTTTCTCTTCTCAGTGTACATCAATGACTTACCTAACAACATATCCACTTCCACTGGGGTTGGTTTGTTTGCTGACGATACCAAACTTTACAGATGTGTGCAGAATCCCTGTGATGCATTGGTCTTGCAAGATGATATTCAAGGCCTACTTTGTTGGTCGATAGAAAACCGGCTACGCTTTAACCAATCTAAGTGTAAAGTGCTGTCAATAACCAGAAAGAAATGGCCTTTAATTTATCCCTATGAGCTTGACAATGATCAGTTGTTGGTTTCCGACGCACAGGTTGATTTGGGTGTCACCATTAGTTGCAAGCTTTTATGGAACCATCAAGTAAATAAAGTACGGTCGAAAGCCAACCAAATGCTCGGGCTAATTAGACAATCTACCGCGGAGATGACTGTTATCAACGCGAGGAGGCTTCTGTATATACAACTCGTACGCAGCAATTTTGGTTATGCATCCCAAGTATGGTGCCCACAATCCATTAAGTTAATCGAAGACATCGACAAGGTGCAGAGAAGAGCAACGAAATACATCTTAAATCTTGGGTTTACCAGCAATGTCTCGTACATAACTAGATTACATCAACTGAAGTTACTACCAATAACTTAGTGGCATGAATATTTGGACATGGTTTTACTCTATAAGTTAATTAACAACTATACCTATGTTGATAAGAGTGCTCTACCAATAATAGCTGAATCAGGAAAAACCAGACGTGAAACCAACGAAAACGTGATTAGATTCGTAATACCCTTTGCTAAAACTGTAACATACCAGTCTTCATATCTTATTAGAGCGTGTAAAACGTGGAACGTTTTAAATAGTGACCTCCGTAATAGAGATATTGGCCTGCAAGCTTTAAAATCTGGACTAAAGACTTACTACAAATACGCGCTATCGAAAATTTATAATTATGACGATCCGCGAACTTGGAAATCTGTGTGCGTTAAATGTAAAAGGGCTAGGTCCCTTGATGGTGTTTTAAGTTGTTGTTAGTTGTCTCTTGCACCGATTGTACTTTGTCTTAAATTAGTTTGTTTCGACTGTTAAAATTATTGTAAACGTAAAATTAATTATGGGGTCGCCGTAATTGGGGAAACCTGTGGCGAACTCCCTGGCGCTATATTAGCCGAATCTCATTAAACCATCATTAAAGCTTATTGAAGCTTCAGCAATTAAAGAAACAAATTCAAAGTCAAGAAGCCAAAATTCAAAACCAAGAAAAGAAAATTGAAAGTCAAGAAAAGAAAATTCAAGATCACGAAAATATGACTCGTAAGCTGGAAAAACAAAATCAAGGTAACAAAATAAAAGGATAATAAAAATAATTAAGGTTATAGAAAGTCAAACGTCCTTTTACTTACCGAAAACTTCACATTTTCGGTAAGTTACAAAATGAATCTCTGGTATGCAACAACAATTTTTAAAATAATTAAAATTAAACGAGTTACTAACGGTAACGTTTTTCAAATTTTATTATCGTTTGGAAGAAAGTTCGTTATTAACACCGAGTAAATACAAATACAGAGTTATAACTAGTATACCCACTTTTTTGTGCGCGTCCTCAGCAAGTTACTATAAATGAACTTATCTCGTACCTAGTGTATTAGCGGCTTTCCTATTGGCTACGAGGAGGTGCGTTCAATCTCGAACTCACCTGCTGACGTATGTTTAGGAGGTGGGTTCGAGATCGATGTTTCGGCGGCGGCCATTATGAAGCGATTTGAACAAATTTCCGACCAAAATGTAAATAAAAAATAAATTAACTGTTTTTAATTGTTTTATAATTATTATTTTTTTTATTTTGCTTGATGAAAATGGAATATTAATTCTGTATTTTAAGTGGAAGAAAAGAAAGATGGCCGCCGAAATTTGTTCGGCACGGGCAGGTTTATATAAATCTTGGCAATGTTTTTGCAGAATGTGTGCATTTTCTCTTTTCAAGAATAGGGAATATTGTAGAGATTTTTTTTACCTTTAGTTAAGCCCAAGTTTGTTTGTTTGCGTAGTATGTTGGCTGCTAAAATGTTCGTTATCCAAACACAAAATTCCCGGGAAACTTCCAGCCACCCTCGGTGCGTCCAATCCCGGACTCACCTTCTGCAAGTATGTTTGTTATAAAATCCTATTGGATGAATTGGATGACGACTCGCTTTAACTGTTCGCATGACTTGCCGAGCACCCGCAGTTGATCATTTTTTGCTCGGTCGCTTGAAAAAACGTAAGTTTCTGCAGTGTTTACGACGGTCAGTTACAGCTTTGTATGTATCTCCTCTGTGTTATTAATGATACCTGAAGGACAGTTTATTAAGTTAAAGTGATATAAAATAGAAACTATTTTCTTTTATGCCTGCTTTGTGCGGTGTTTTTTGTTGTTAAAAATCCTGTTCGCAACCACATGGGAATGCAACTAATATTGTACCAAAATACTAATACTGCTAAACCATATTAAACATTATATGACTTGATATACAGGGTTTATTTTAAGAAAAATTTAGAACTGCACATATAGGGATGTTACGAAGGCAACAGGTGAAAGAATAATGGTGTGGTTGAGTGGGAGAATTGGAGAAAGGCCAGACAAACTCGATTTTGGGTGCGGGAGCTAGAGGGTGTTCCCCAAAACAATTTGAATCTAGAGGCTCTGTTTACCCAACCATTCACAAAAACTGTTTCATGGATATTCAATATATAACAACCTTAAATTTGCATTTGAGGCAGCAATGAATATTAGGTTCTCCCACTCTAATCTCTTTTGGTGAGCTTCGCCCCAATTTTACCTTCTTTTCAATTACGCCAGCACGTAAGTTATTTGTGAGGAAAATAGAAGGGTCTGGAGTCCTCCCCTAGAAAACGTTTATATTTTTGAGGCTCAAATAATGACAGCAATCCTGGAATTTTCTGGAGCATCCACAAGGGTAACGAGTAAATGAGAAGACTGTTTTAATGCTATTTTTGTGAGTTTGGTGACTGCACATTTGAGTTTTAAGAACTGCACAAATGGGTTTAGAACTGCACATTTTGTGTAGAACTGCACGTTAAAATAAACCCTGCCTGTTGATATAGTTATTTCAATATTTGTGTCGCTTATCAAACAAGCTAATAAAGATCAGGAAAAGTTCCCTAGAGTCTCTGGCCAAACGGCTCTAACATCCAAACGTAACATCTAGATTTCAAGCATGAATTTCTGTAGACGAGTAATGATAGAGTTTGCCGGTTAACCGAGTCAAATCCGAGTCCGAGTCAAATCTGAGCCCGAGTCAAATGCCCGAGTCACTGTTTAGTGATCTTTGTAGTTCAATGACTTAGTATCCTAACCTTAACCCTACTCCTACTCCTAACCCTAACCCTTCTCCCAACGTACCCTAATCCTATTCGACTGTGAGTTTATTCAATTTCGGAGTTTGTCGGTTAACCGAGTCAAATCTGAGTCCACGTCAAATTTCCGAGTCACTGTTTATCTGTCTTTGTTGTCGGTTCAATGACTTAGTACCCTAACCCTACTCCTAACCTGTGAATTGTGTTCAATTTCGTCTTTTTTTTACGTGACTCGGGCGTTTGAGTCGGGCTCGGAATTGACTCGGACTTGACTCGGTAAATGGATTTACTCAGTACTGATAAGCAATTGAGAAATGCGAGCATTAAACAGTGTTATTAATAGCCTAATGTGAACTTGTTGTTTTAGTTTCCAATCGCGATTTTACTGAATGCGCGTAGAAAACAATTTTGTTGCTATATAATATATATGCCATTTTGTGTCTGTGGCTTGCAAATTATTCTTCCGCTTTTGTTTGAATAAATATATATATAGTAAATGAACTTCACAAATGCACTTCCTGGCTGCCAATAACAACTGCTTACTTCCAATAGATTATACTGACCGCCTCGATCTCTAGATTTCAAGCTATTGTTTCGGGTATACTCAAGCAAATTTGGCAAGTGTCTGTTGATATCCACATCTATACCCTTATGTACACAGAATAGTATTAGGAGTGCACATCTCAAGAATTATTTTTGAGTTTAACATGCAGCTTTCAAAACAAACGAAAAATTATTATATTTTTCAGATATTGTGAAGCGTATTGACAAGCTACATTCACCAGCGTCTTGTTCAGCTTTGTTAATAAAACATCCTTCAACACCAAGTGGAATGTATTATATTAATCCCGAAGCACTCGGTTCATCTACTTTGGTTCAAGTGTACTGTAATATGACGTCAAAGAATGGTGTTGGTATAACGGTGATTGGACATGACAGTGAATCAAGGACACTTGTGAATGGATATGAATCTGTAGGTTCTTACCAACAAAAGATTAAATATAATATTTCCATGGAGCAGATTGTTGCCCTTGTGAAGCAGTCCAAGAATTGTGAGCAGTTTATAAAATATGAATGTTACCATAGTGGTTTGTGGTTCTCTGCACAATGTGGTTGGTGGGTATCACGTCAAGGTTCAAAGATGAATTACTGGGGTGGGGCGGCAGTGAACAGTGGGAAATGTGCATGTGGAATGACCAACAGCTGTGCGAAAAGTGGAGGAAAATGTAATTGTGACAAGAATGATTACACATGGCGTGAAGACAGTGGATATCTGACTGACAAGAACACACTGCCTGTTACTGAGCTGAGATTTGGAGATACCGGTGACTATAGTGAGAAAGGATACCACACACTGGGAAAATTGCGATGTTGGGGTTAGTATAGAAGAGCGGATTTTGAGGAATAATACAAAAACTGACGTTATCACTTAGCAACACATACGATAAGTAATATACAGTAGAACGCGTCTTTGGTAAAAGTTTCTATCAAAAATAGTTTAACACAAGAGTAGAACTTATATATAGGGTATAATTATCATTAACAATATGCGCACTGTGGGATATTCAAAGTTAGTACTATACTTAAAATGAATAATCAATATGGAGCTTCTTATAGCTTTATATAAACTTAAAATAGGAAATCTGTTTTAAGTAGAATGATAGAAAATGTTGCATGCACTAGAATCTAAATTGAAAAGAATAAAAGTGGATAATCAGAATATTATTTTACGTCGTTCCTTTAGTTGGGGTTTCAGAAAATGGCAGCCCTAAGAAATTGCCGTCTCCAGGGACTGTTTCCCGAAATACAGTGAGGTGCTCTTATTTGGTGTTCCAAAAAAAGTTACGCAGAAACAAATTTATATAGACACTTGACTGCTTGGAACACATGTGAAATAGATGTAGGTGGTTTACTCACTCAATTGAATGGCACAACATTTTAATACAAGTTTATAACTGTCAAAAGACAAAACTTAAATCTAAGCGCCTTTTGCTTGTGTGATGGTCATATATTACTTTTTGGCACACAATTATTACATTTTTTGCCACTGCTCTACAATGGCTGATCTTAGCCAATGAGAATTAGGTAATTTTTCACGTATATATTATTAAGGAAATAAACCTTTCTTGTTGCTTAAATTATTCAGTATAAAACATGTGTATCGCATCTAACATTTGTAGCACAGTTACGACAACAACACAGTTACTCCTAGTCAAATTCAATATGGTGGAATTACTAGCTATAGGGAAATTATAGCAGCTAATTAGAGGATACACATTTATACTACCGTGTATATAAGTAATTACACAAAATAGCCCCTGGTTATTTAGCCATCTAGTATGGTGTGGTTAAATTAAGTAAAAAACCCGAGTCTATTATAACAAGATAATAGTAAGATAAAGGTTAAAATAACCAGGAAGATCCAACAAAGATAATAAGTTAACTCAAATAGCGTTATTTTTGGTTAACCGGAGCTTCTTTCAAAACTGAGGAGGGGGAGGGGGGGGGGCGAAACCTTTTAATGTTGTTAATAAAACATGTCTAAATGCATGAAATAGTATTTCGCAGACCCTAAAAATAGAAACATCTAAGCAATAGACCGTGTCCCTCCCACTCGTTTGTGGGGGGAGGGGGGGGGCTATGCCCTTGTATGCAATACACTGTGGCCTTACATTAGAAGTTCTTATATAATATAATATGCCAAACAATGATCTTGGAGGATTAATCATTTGAAATTCATCAGACATCAAACTACACAAAAGGAGTGATTTCGAAATTAAAACTCAGTCAAAGGATGATAAGAGATGATGACTGGGGTTGACAAGCGAGAGTTTGCATCAGAGTTTCTTCAACTCTCGTGCCCCGGTCAAACAAGAACAGGAGTCACACAAGAGTGGGCCAGAGATTGCACATTACGCGTGCACACTAAAACTGAATACAATAGGTATACAATCATTCATTACGTCTCAATGAGCTGAAGGAGGAAGACAGAACTTGCTTAGAGACGAAATTGACAAAATGATGTCTGCGAAGATTGTTGAAAATCGTGATTTTCTAAGCCTGGCTGAGCCTTGGCTTTTGAGTTTTGGTTTATTGCAAAGCGACAAGATAGTTGATACTAAAGTGATGACGAGGTCACATACAGTTGGTAAAATTTCTCATATTTTTCAAAATTTAAGCCCAGCAGGTTCTCTTACTAGTGCTGTGCATGTATATTACGCGATTTCTATAGTAAATAGATCTTATTTCTTAATATTTGATTGCATCTTTGCAATTGCTTATACTGTCTTGGTTATATACGGAAGCAATTTTATATATGATTCTATTTATGTCGTCTGCATGCTGAAACCGAGAACTGCCCATGGGATCGATCCATAGATATCTTATATACACTAGATAGCGCATCTCTTTTAGTAAAATTGAAGCCAAGAATATTCCAGCGGTTACCCCCATTTGAATAGATGGCGGCCATGTTGGTCGTTCCCACTTGCTAATAAACGCTTAAAAACAACAATAACTTTCATCATTTGAATAGTTTAAAAACGTATTTGGAGTAGGGTTAACTTAATGTTTAAGTTCCCTGTTTAAGAAATAGAAAACATGCGAATCTTCTCATTTCATGGGAACGACCTGAGACTGCAATCACGGCTTCAATTTTTGAATTGCAGAATAATTAGATGCACTATCTAGTGTTAGCGTTTACACTGTACCGTTTTCGTAGCGTTCTCGTTTTGTTCGAGAGAACTAGACTATTGTCTTGCGTTCCCTTGAGGATTAAGAACAATACGAGAACGCTACGAAAACGGTACAGTGTAAACGCTGCCTAAGATATCTATGGATCGATCATCTCCCAAACATGCGTATCGCATAACTATTCTTCACGTCATGTGTTAATCACGAAAGCGTAGCATACATAACAGATAAAAAAACTTTGAAAATGATTTATATACAGGGTGTCCCAAAAATGCCACCTGAACTGAGGAACGTCTCTGAAATAAGAGAGCCGCCATGCATATATAGTAAAAACCCGCGCATATAAACTGGTTCTTTATATTTCTATATTAAGCTACTCATTATTATTAATTAGGCAAATTGTCCGATAACATGATCATATTTGACCGTCCATGCATGTGCAGGGATTTTATACCTGATAAATATGCTCTACTTAATATAGCCATCCCAACGGAAATACGGTTCTATACATTAACCCAATGAAAATGTTAACTAACATGAGATTTTATATAAAGGCACATGTAGTTTATATAAAATCTGATGTTTGTACAAAGTTGAACTGTATATGGACAATATGTACGAGGTCTACATTAAAATGACTGAGAAAGATATCGATCAAATACATACGAAATTATGAGGAGAACTGCTAAATGTCGACCAATGGTTTAAGAACCAAAATTCACGTTAGTTCTGAAACCGTTCAATGTGCACATTATTAACACAGCAAACGTAAAACTAAGTAAATTACACATCTATTACTTTGGAAACGTTAGCTCAAAATGCCTAACCTTAATTCCTCTTTTTGCTTCATCATTAACAACACTTTTGCCATGGACATCTCGCTTGAAACGATCGAAATATTGTACACGCAGTAAATCTTGTAAATTTTCATGCAGTAAATCTTGTGTCTATGTTAAGCTTTGAACAACAAAGCGGTGACCACGACTAATTTGCATGCTGAACCCAAGTCGTTTGGCAGCTAATTCAACTGTATTCTGCAGACAATACATATAACAATGCTCGTGGAAGTCACACTATTGTAGTCGCGTTTAAAACCATTTAAAACACTGGTAGTCGTGTTTTGTCCTATTTGACTAATTTTAAATATGATAAAACACTCCTACATATACAGGGTGTCTCAAAAAAAACCCAAATCATTGAAATAACGTATTGTTCGAATTTCAATGCCGTAACACAAAGGATTTTGACAGGGTGATTAATTTGTTTTAAAAAATTAAAATATCTTTGTAAAGTGAACGTTTGTTTGCTCATGGGAATTTAAAAATGCTTCGTAAATTCGTGGGTTTAGTACTTTATGCCTGAGGCCCGTTTCATACGCCGTACTTCACATGTGGCGAATACATTAAAGACAATAGGTAATGAGCTGAAATGCCTCATTACCTATTGTTTTTAATGTATTCGGCACATGTGAAGTACGGCGTATGAAACGGGCCTGACATAACAAGTTTACGCTGAGTATTACCATTCATTATAGCAGTTATGTCAATCTTTTATGCACTCGTGGGATTAACTTAGTGCTAGGGCATTGAATATCGAACAATACGTCAATTTCAATGATTTTGGGTTTTTTTGAGACACCCTGTACAGGTGTATAAAAAAAACGCAACCTCGGAATTTCCCATGAAATCCACATTGTTTTAAGAACAAAAGGTTTTAGGTGCCTGGGAATTTAAAATAGCACAACTGTCAGTGCATAAAGCAAAATTCATGCATTTATTTAACAGGAGGCTACTAGCAATTTGATATCAATTCCCAGGGGCCTAAAATCTTTTATGCTTAAGAATTGCAAAGTGGATTTCTTAGGAAATTCCGAGGTTGCTTTTTTTATATACACCCTGTATACGCGTGTTTTAAACAGTACGTCGAAAACAATTGTCCATGCATAATTTGGTGTTTTAAACATTTTTTGTTTGCCTATAATTAGTAAACTGTTGATCAGTATTACACGTCTAAGGTGCTGTTTACATGAATCCAGATTGACTTTCAATCCAGATCGAAATGTCAAGTCAATCCGTGTTTACATGGAAAATGGGTTCGAGAATTGGAATTTGCGCGGGTAAGCGCGGGAAGCCAAATTTCGATCTGGATTGAAATCTCGATTCGAAATGAGGTTGAAAGTCAATCCGGATTCATGTATTAAACAGCACCTAATAATTGCTCTTTAAGTGTTATTGAATTTCCAAATACCAAACAACAGATTATATGCTTTTCCATTTGCAATGATATTAGATCAAGCATACAACAGCGAATACCCGCTTGCCCTTACTTGGAACATGTATTCTAGAGGATATTTTTTAAAATAAGTCTTATTCGTCAGTCTTAAAGAATCAGTCTTATTCGTCAGCCTGAAGTGGTTCTTGTATTTTGGATGCTTAGCCTGTATTCTAAAAGCTCACTTACGTTCACACTCAAAGAGTGGAGGTTCAATCTAAGCTCTCCTTGAGTGTCAATGTTGTTTTTGAATAGGTGGAGAGTGAGTTAGTCACATAGTAAAGTACTAAGGTACGACACTAACACTCCAGCTATTCAAAACAGCACTGACACTCAAGGGAAGCTCAGATTGAACCTCCACTCTTAAATCCTTGCGGTAGTTCAAAAAGCGGAGCCACATATATGTGTTCTCTTAGTCCTAACCATGCAACCATGTATGGTTATGCTCTCATTTACATACACAAAGAACCCGCATGAACGAACCAGTGGCTAAAGAACAAGCAGTCTCAATTTTAGGACATTTACGCTTGTATTCTAAAAGCTCACTCACACTTACGTATACGTAGAGGGGGGGAAAGGGGTATACGTTTCACAACAAAAAAAAACCGTTTCACGATCCACGTGTCTTAAAAAAGCAATTTCACGGAAAAATAGATTCTAATAAAATAATAATAATAGGTTTATTAAGAGTATGTTCAATGCATGGTACAGTATCTACGCTTTATGTTCTCTCATTTCTCTACCTGTCAGTTAAAAACTACATCACATATAACAAGTTTGAGTGACGAGCATGTACGACGACCTACGAAAGGCCTCCGAAGCAGCGATTATCCTAAGGTGCAGTGATAACCAATTTGTGCAGTCGTAAATGAGATTTGTGCTAGTGATCAATTAGATTATGTGTGCAGTGATAAAATGCGATATTGTTCAGAACCAGAAATTGGCGACAAAATGACTGCTGCTTGTATACTAATTTGCATATAATCCACATGCAATGACTTTCAGTTTTTACTGGGAATGTACAGGGTGAAATTATTTAACTCAAAATTGTTGCAATCTGAGAGCTCGTCTATACTGTTTGCCGACCTCTTGATCAATAAAGCATTCATGCATTTACTAATGTTTCAGTGGTATATTTATTCCGATCAGGTATCTCTCCTAGCAGCCAAGTCGTGTTCAAGAAAATCACTATTATGTCATCTTCGTTAAGCTGCTGCGAGCGATCTTGTTTTGAGATTTTTGACATTGTTTTTTGACAACTGTTTATAGATTAATCTATTTCATGCAGAGTGTGAAAGACTAGATCTTGAGCAATACTGCATGGAGGGTGCGAAAGAGTATTTTCGTGAACCGCGAATATTTTTTCGCGTGAAATGCTTAATTTTAGTGTCGTGAAATGTGATTTGTTCTACAGCCGTGAGGCGTGATTCTTGATAAAAATGCTCCGTGAAATGAGAATTAAGGATGCCTGTTTCGTGAGCTCTGATTATTATAGTGATTATTATAATAAACATGATACGCGATAATCAAATTTATATGATCTCACTCGACTGCACAAGAGTAAAAACTTAGGAGGCCTTGCGCGAGGTTCCTGACGCTGAGGACAAGGTTCCTGGCGGTGAGGACAAGGTTCCTGGCGGTGAGGACAAGGTTCCTGGCGGTGAGGACAAGGTTCCTGGTGGTGAGGACAAGGTTCCTGGCGGTGAGGACCTTGCGCGAGGTTCCTGACGCTGAGGACAAGGTTCCTGGCGGTGAGGACAAGGTTCCTGGCGGTGAGGACAAGGTTCCTGGCGGTGAGGACAAGGTTCCTGGCGGTGAGGACAAGGTTCCTGGTGGTGAGGACAAGGTTCCTGGCGGTGAGGACAAGGTTACTGGCGGTGAGGACAAGATTACTGGCGGTGAAGACAAGGTTCCTGACGGTGAAGACAAGGTTCCTGACGGTGAGGACAAGGTTCCTGCCGGTGAGGACAAGGTTCCTGGCTGTGAGGACGAGGTTCCTGGCGGTGAGGACAAGGTTCCTGGAGGTGAGGACAAGGTTCCTGGTGGTGAGGAAAAGGTTCCTGGCGGTGACGACAAGGTTCCTGGTGGTGAGGACAAGGTTCCTGGAGGTGAGGACAAGGTTCCTGGCGGTGAGGACAAGGTTCCTGCCGGTGAGGACAAGGTTCCTGGCTGTGAGGACGAGGTTCCTGGTGGTGAGGGCAAGGTTCCTGGAGGTGAGGACAAGGTTCCTGCCCGTGAGGACAAGGTTATTGGCAGTGAGGACAAGGTTCCTGCCGGTGAGCACAAGGTATCTGGCGGTGAGGACAAGGTTCCTGGCGGTGAGGACAAGGTTCCTGGCGGTGAGGACAAGGTTCCTGGCGGTGAGGACAAGGTTCCTGGCGGTGAGGACAAGGTTACTAGCGGTGAGGACAAGGTTCTTGGTGATGAGGACAAGGTTACTAGTGGTGAGGACAAGGTTCCTGGGGTGAGGACAAGGTTCCTGGCGGTGAGGACAAGGTTCCTGGCGGTGACGACGAGGTTCCTGGCGGTGAGGACAAGGTTCCTGGAGGTGAGGACAAGGTTCCTGGCGGTGAGGACAAGGTTCCTGCAGGTGAGGACAAGGTTCCTGGCTGTGAGGACGAGGTTTCTGGTGGTGAGGGGAAGGTTCTTGGAGGTGAGGACAAGGTTCCTGGAGGTGAGGACAAGGTTCCTGGCGGTGAGGACAAGGTTCCTGGCGGTGAGGACAAGGTTCCTGGCGGTGAGGACAAGGTTCCTGGCGGTGAGGACGAGGTTCCTGGTGGTGAGGGCAAGGTTCCTGGAGGTGAGGACAAGGTTCCTGCCGGTGAGGACAAGGTTACTGGCAGTGAGGACAAGGTTCCTGCCGGTGAGGACAAGGTTCTGGCGGTGAGGACAAGGTTCCTGGCGGTGAGGACAAGGTTCCTGGCGGTGAGGACAAGGTTCCTGGCGGTGAGGGCAAGGTTCCTGGAGGTGAGGACAAGGTTCCTGGAGGTGAGGGCAAGGTTCCTGGAGGTGAGGACAAGGTTCCTGGAGGTGAGGACAAGGTTCCTGCCGGTGAGGACAAGGTTACTGGCAGTGAAGACAAGGTTCCTGCCGGTGAGGACAAGGTTCCTGGCGGTGAGGACGAGGTTCCTGGCGGTGAGGGACAAGGTTCCTGGCGGTGAGGACAAGGTTCCTGGCGGTGAGGACAAGGTTCCTGGCGGTGAGGACAAGGTTCCTGGCGGTGAGGACAAGGTTCCTGGCGGTGAGGACAAGGTTCCTGCCGGTGAGGACAAGGTTCCTAACTGTGAGGACGAGGTTCCTGTCGGTGAGGGAAGGTTCCTGGAGGTAAGGACAAGGTTCCTGGAGGAAAGGACAAGGTTCCTGGCGGTGAGGACAAGCTTACTGGCAGTGAGGACAAGGTTCCTGGCGGTGAGAACAAGGCTCCTGGCGGTGAGGACAAGGTTCCTGGCGGTGAGGACAAGGTTCCTGGCGGTGAGGACAAGGTTCCTGGTGGTGAGGACCAAGGCTCCTGGCGGTGAGGACAAGGTTCCTGGCTGTGACGACGAGGTTCCTGGCGGTGAGGACAAGGTTCCTGGCGGTGAGGACAAGGTTCCTGGCGGTGAGGACAAGGTTCCCGGCGGTGAGGACAAGGTTCCTGGCGGTGAGGACAAGGTTCCTGGCGGTGAGGACAAGGTTCCTGGCTGTGAGGACAAGGTTCCTGCCGGTGAGGACAAGGTTCCTGCCGGTGAGGACGAGGTTCCTGCCGGTGATGACGAGGTTCCTGGCTGTGAGGACGAGGTTCCTGGAGGTGAGGACAAGCTTTCTGGCGGTGAGGACAAGGTTACTGGCAGTGAGGACAAGTTTCCTGCCGGTGAGGATAAGGTTCCTGGCGGTGAGGACAAGGTTCCTGGCGGTGAGGACAAGGTTCCTGGCGGTGAGGACAAGGTTCCTGGCTGTGACGACGAGGTTCCTGGCGGTGAGGACAAGGTTCCTGGAGGTGAGGACAAGGTTCCTGGCGGTGAGGACAAGGTTCCTGCCGGTGAGGACAAGGTTCCTGGCTGTGAGGACGAGGTTTCTGGTGGTGAGGGGAAGGTTCCTGGAGGTGAGGACAAGGTTCCTGGAGGTGAGGACAAGGTTCCTGCCGGTGAGGACAAGGTTACTGGCAGTGAAGACAAGGTTCCTGCCGGTGAGCACAAGGTATCTGGCGGTGAGGACAAGGTTCCTGGCGGTGAGGACAAGGTTCCTGGTGGTGAGGACAAGGTTCCTGGCGGTGAGGACAAGGTTCCTGGCTGTGATAACGAGGTTCCTGGCGGTGAGGGCAACGTTCCTGGAGGTGAGGACAAGGTTCCTGGCGGTGAGGACAAGGTTGCTGGCAGTGAGGACAAGGTTCCTGCCGGTGAGGACAAGGTATCTGGCGGTGAGGACAAGGTTACTGGCAGTGAGGACAAGTTTCCTGCCGGTGAGGAGAAGGTTCCTGGCGGTGAGGACAAGGTTCCTGGCGGTGAGGTCAAGGTTCCTGGCGGTGAGGACAAGGTTCCTGGTGGTGAGGACAAGGTTCCTGGCGGTGAGGACAAGGTTCCTGGCTGTGACGACGAGGTTCCTGGGGTTAGGACAAGGTTCCTGGAGGTGAGGACAAGGTTCCTGGCGGTGAGGACAAGGTTCCTGCCGGTGAGGACAAGGTTCCTGGCTGTGAGGACGAGGTTTCTGGTGGTGAGGGGAAGGTTCCTGGAGGTGAGGACAAGGTTCCTGGAGGTGAGGACAAGGTTCCTGGCGGTGAGGACAAGGTTCCTGGCGGTGAGGACAAGGTTCCTGGCTGTGAGTACGAGGTTTCTGGTGGTGAGGGCAAGGTTCCTGGAGGTGAGGACAAGGTTCCTGGAGGTGAGGACAAGGTTCCTGCCGGTGAGGACAAGGTTACTGGCAGTGAAGACAAGGTTCCTGCCGGTGAGCACAAGGTATCTGGCGGTGAGGACGAGGTTCCTGGCGGTGAGGGCAAGGTTCCTGGAGGTGAGGACAAGGTTCCTGGCGGTGAGGACAAGGTTACTGGCAGTGAGGACAAGGTTCCTGCCGGTGAGGACAAGGTTCCTGGCGGTGAGGACAATGTTCCTGCCGGTGAGGACAAGGTTCCTAACTGTGAGGACGAGGTTCCTGTCGGTGAGGGCAAGGTTCCTGGAGGTAAGGACAAGGTTCCTGGAGGAAAGGACAAGGTTCCTGGCGGTGAGGACAAGCTTACTGGCAGTGAGGACAAGGTTCCTGCCGGTGAGGACAAGGCTCCTGGCGGTGAGGACAAGATTCCTGGCGGTGAGGACAAGGTTCCTGCAGGTGAGGACAAGGTTCCTGGTGGTGAGGACCAAGGCTCCTGGCGGTGAGGACAAGGTTCCTGGCTGTGACGACGAGGTTTCTGGCGGTGAGGACAAGGTTCCTGGCGGTCAGAACAAGGTTCCTGGCGGTGAGGACAAGGTTCCCGGCGGTGAGGACAAGGTTCCTGGCGGTGAGGACAAGGTTCCTGGCGGTGAGGACAAGGTTCCTGGCTGTGAGGACAAGGTTCCTGCCGGTGAGGACAAGGTTCCTGCCGGTGAGGACGAGGTTCCTGCCGGTGATGACGAGGTTCCTGGCGGTGAGGACGAGG